TCTTGACAATGATGTAGAACTGGGCAACATTATATTTTCTTGTCCATGGAGTCTCTGTAAGTCAGAGCTGACTTGAAGACATTTGTGGGAATGATTCTAACTATACAGATGTTGTCTCTGTTTAAACAAGGAATTATATTTTATTTAGTTTAAAGAGATATTATAGCGATAACTGCAGATTTATATGCAGTTACAAGAATAATGCAGATATATCCCTGGTAATTATCACTACTTTTTCACAAAATGATCATAATTTGAATATTTCTAAAATTTACTTTCTAACCCTATCTCCAACACACACAAATCCTAAATTTAATCTTACTTTTGGTGTTGTCCATTTAAGCAAACATCATTCTCATTCAATGAGTTGGACAATTCAGACATCTAAGAATCACCTTTTCCCTTCTCTATTCATTTGAAGAAAAAGATTATTAATTCTATATCTAAATATATCATTAAAATCAGCACATTTGTCTCCATCCTAATGGAACTAGTTTAAACTATCATCATTTTTTGGTTGATTACAGGACAGTATTTCCTAGTGCTCAAGAGTTTGAGTTGCAACTCAGTTTCATTACTTGCTCTGTGGTCCAAGGAAAGTAAGTAACAAACACAGCTTCATAGCTGTGTGCCTTTTAACTAATAAATTAACATCTATATTCCTCAATTTCTTCATCTATAAAATGTAAATAATAAAAATATATAAGCCTTTACATAACTATTAGTTATAAAACAGATAATCTGATTAAGGAACTTCAAATTAGAGTCCGTAATAGTGTTTTCCACCATTCTTTAGATATCAGGCAGATTTATTTTTGTAAAACATACACTAAGTAGATTCAGGCTGAAATCAAAGTTCTCTTAGTAGAACTAGGGCCCTTTCTAATTGTGATAGCATTCATTCCTTATTTTCATCCTCAGTGTTCTCTCCCCAAATCTTGCCCTTTGTCTTCTCTCCTTGTCTTCCATCTCTCCTTCCCTTTTTCAATCACCAGGCCCAGGGGTGCTCCAGTAATCAGGGAGTCAGAGAAGACTCACCAGACTGAGCATCAGGATGGAGTCCTGTCTTTGTTTTGGCTCTGACTCCTCATTCTTATGAAGGCACTGCTTTTTGCTGGGATGGGAGGTGTTTTCAAAAGAAAATTCCCTAGAGCCAGTTTGAAAATCCACAGTCTCTGAAGATTTGTTTTTTACCTGGCCTTGACAAGGACAGAAAGCCATTGGGGAGTATCAGTTAACAGCTGACCTGTGGTCCTGTGTCTCTAGTTTGCGTGTGAGAATACTTGGCATCTGAAACAAGAGGTATAGGTAGGATTTGCGTCTCTTTGCAGCACTACTGGAGGCACCCTGTTCTGTCAGCAAACCTCTTACCCAAAGGCACTCAGTTTTCTCATTCCTTATGCTTGTAAGCCCATTGGCTCCAATTCCTGCTGGTCTCTTGATTCTGCTACCTCGTTTTTTAGCCAGTGCTTCTTTCCCTATCTTGCCATCTCCATTGTCTCCAGCATTACAGGTTTACCTCTCTGTCTCCTGGGTTTAGCAAGTTCTCAGTACAGGGCCCTTGGGTCCAAAGGATGCTCTCTGCTCCCATCTTTTCTTCTTGGTGTTAGGTAGGTACCCCTTTCATCTTTGGGATAGTTCATTTTAAGCCTACTGGGATGGAAAACTGATTTATCCCCAGTTAGGGTTCAATACTCCTTATTTGCACAGTACCACCGGTTGTAGTTAAGTTTTTGTGTCAACTTGCCTGGGCCTGGTTCAGTGACTGGGCAGCTGGATGTAGTATTCCCCATGATGAGACTGGCAATCAACTCCATGATGGAATCTACTGGGAGCAGCTGAGTAGCTGCCTTTGTGATGTGGTCTGCTTCCTGTACATAAGGTGAAGCCTTGGGAAAGGTCTTTAGCTTATGGCATGCTTGAACCCTGCATGTAGCTGAGTCGCTGTTCAGCAGCCTGCCATGCTCTGCTGATCCTGGGATTTTCAATGGACTTGAATCAAAGGCCTGCCATGTTGTTTGGTAACATTGGGACTGTGCCATTTTATTTGTTGACCTTGGGATTGTTAACCTCAGCAGCCAGCAGCTGCCTGAGAAAAGAGATGCCTCTAGCTTCAGTGGGCC